AATATAGCCGAATTGAATACATCGTAATACATCCGAATTGAATAGAATGGTATACATCATATTTCTTGATTTTTTGTTGTTTGAATATAACTGAATTCTATACAATGAAATTAAATACAATGTAAAATATATAAGAATATATACATCTGAACTGAATAAAATGTATATAACCGAAAAACATACGTCCTATGACAAGTAATTAGTAGCTAGAGAATATAATTAGGCCTCCAAACAATATTCCCCTATAATACGGTTCCCCTCGTGGCTGGCCTTTTAGACTTGCTTGACCTTTGTCTTATCATTAACTAATTAAATATTGTTCTTGTCTTTCAACCATTAATATCACTCCACATTAAAGAAAGAATCTCTTTCTCTCTCATAGCCTCTATCTCAATGGAGCAGCAGTTCGGTGACCATTAATGGAATTGTTGTGGTCAACTGACAGAGAGTAGCTGTAGCTTCTCCCTTCCTTATCTCTTCTTATTACTCCACACCCATTTCAAGATTTCCCTCATTAATACTGTTTCTTCTTTGTAAATACCGAAAACAGCTTGATTATAGTAAAACCACAAGCAGCACTTTTATTTCACGTAAAATCCAAGAACCATGGCTGCTGCATGCACTGGTTCTAAAACCACGCGTCTTCTCTCTGCTCAAGATAGCACTGACTTCACTCTTGTCCATAAATGCCCACAACAAAAACTTCTGCCATTCAACCCCTGCTCAAGAATATGATTCTTAGCAGTAATAGCAGAACCAATAAGTGAAAAAGTCAAACCTTTTCTGCTGTCCTATTTAGTCCCTTTTTTGCTTTCTTTTTCTTCATATTCTATTAACTAAAGAGAGACTTGTGACTCAGTTCATTTCTCTTCAATCACAGATATGAGGATGCTTAAAGGAGTTTTCTTAGCTTTGTTTGTTGTAACGTTAGTTCTTATATGTTCAAGTGGATATGTGTTTTGCAAGAATGCAACAGAGTCATCATCAACAACACTGAAGATTCTTTTGGAGACAAGGAAATCATTTGTTGATGATCCGGAAAATGTTTTGAGAGATTGGTCTGAAAACAATCCAAATTACTGTAAATGGAGAGGTGTTTCATGTGCAAGAAACTCAGTACAAGTGGTGAGCCTAAACCTTTCAGGTTCTTCACTCAGTGGGTCAATTTCACCGTCTATTGGCCTTTTGCATGACCTGCTCCAACTTGATCTTTCTTCTAATCTGCTCTCAGGTCCCATTCCACCTACTCTTTCTAACCTTACTTCTTTGGAATCTCTCCTCCTTTTTTCCAACCAACTCACTGGCCCCATTCCCACTGAATTTGGCTTGCTGAAAAATCTCCAAGTCCTTAGAATTGGTGATAATGGCCTAACAGGGACAATTCCAACTACTTTTGGTAATCTTGAAAATTTGGTCACTCTTGGTTTGGCCACATGCAGCTTAGGTGGTAAAATTCCTTCTGAATTAGGAAAACTCAGCCAGCTTGAGAACTTGAATTTACAGGAGAATCAACTGGAAGGTCCAATTCCAGCTGAGATTGGCAACTGCTCCAGCCTAGTTGCATTCAGTGTTGCTGTCAACAATCTCAATGGATCAATCCCAGAAGAATTAGCAAACCTTAAAAACCTCCAAGTTCTCAATTTTGCTAATAATAGCCTCTCTGGACAGATTCCTACTGAGCTTGTTGGAATGAATGAGCTGCTTTATCTTAACTTGCTTGGTAATCACCTTGAAGGTTCGATCCCAAAGTCCTTGGCAAAGTTGAGCAACCTTCAGAATTTAGACTTGTCTGGAAACAGACTTACTGGTGAAATCCCTGGCGAATTCGGCAAAATGGGTCAGCTACTATTCTTGGTTCTGACGAGCAACAATCTTTCTGGTAGCATACCGAAAAGCATTTGTTCCAATGCGAGCAGCTTGGAACACATGATACTATCTGAAAACCAACATTCTGGTGAAATCCCTGTGGAATTGAGAGATTGCAGGTCACTAAAGCAGCTCGATTTGTCTAATAACACGCTCAGTGGTTCGATACCAGTAGAGCTGTACGAGTTGGTTGAGTTGACTGATCTCCTGCTTAACAACAACACTTTGGTTGGTTCAATATCTCCATCGATAGCAAACCTCACAAATCTGCAAACGTTGGCATTGTCTCACAACAACTTACGTGGCAATATACCAAAAGAGATAGGAATGCTTGGGAACCTTGAGATCCTCTTTCTATATGAGAACCAGTTATCTGGAGAAATCCCAATGGAGATAGGCAATTGTTCTAGCTTGCAGATGATCGATTTTTATGGAAATCAATTCACAGGAAACATTCCCATTACAATTGGAAGGTTGAAGCAGCTGAATTTCATTGATTTTAGACAGAATGATCTCTCTGGTGAAATTCCTGCCAGCTTGGGGAATTGTCACCAGCTGAAGACCCTTGATTTGGCAGATAATCGACTATCTGGTAGCATCCCTGCGACGTTTGGTTATCTTCGATCTCTGGAGCAGCTTATGCTTTATAACAACTCCGTTGAAGGTAATCTTCCTGATGAACTGATCAATGTTTCAAATCTGACGAGAATCAATCTTTCTCATAATAAACTGAATGGTAGTATTGCTGCCCTATGTAGTTCAACATCTTTTCTTTCTTTTGATGTTACAAATAATGCATTTGATCATGATATTCCACCCCACCTGGGATATTCACCATTTCTTGAAAGGTTAAGGCTAGGAAACAACCGTTTCACTGGAAAAATCCCTTGGACATTGGGATTGATCAGTGAACTATCGCTGCTAGATCTCTCCGGAAATGAATTGACTGGTTCAATACCTGCACAGCTTTCTCTGTCCAGAAAGCTCACCCATCTTGATCTCAATAATAACCTTCTTTCTGGATCAATCCCTACTTGGCTCGGAAACTTGCCGCTCTTGGGTGAGCTCAAGCTGGCCTCTAATAAATTCTCAGGACCTCTTCCTAGAGAATTGTTCAACTGCTCAAAGCTTTTAGTGCTGTCTTTGGAAGACAATTCACTGAATGGAACTATACCCCTTGAAATTGGTAACCTCAATTCCCTTAATGTCCTAAATCTTGACAGAAACCAACTCTCTGGTCCCATTCCAACTACCATTGGCAACTTAAGCAAGCTCTACATACTCCGTCTCTCGGGAAACACCTTTACTGGTGAAATACCCAGTGAGCTAGGACAGCTCAAGAATCTCCAAAGCATACTGGATTTGAGTTTCAACAACCTCACTGGCCAAATTCCTCCTTCTGTTGGGACACTCTCTAAACTTGAAGCACTTGATCTATCTCATAACCAGCTCATCGGAGAAGTTCCTCCTCAAATTGGTGAAATGAGCAGTTTGGGAAAGCTTAACGTTTCTTACAACAACCTTCACGGCAAATTGGACAAACAGTATGCACATTGGCCAGCTGATGCATTCACCGGGAATCATCTATGTGGAAGTCCTCTGCAAAATTGCGAAGACTCCAAGTCCAACAATCAGGATCCAGGACTAAGTAACTCAACAGTGGTAATAATTTCAGTGATATCAACTACAGTGGCAATTATACTTCTGTTGCTTGGAGCTGCCCTCTTTTTCAAGCAAAGGCGAGAAGCCTTTAGAAGAGCAAGTTCAGTAAATTATGCTTACTCTTCCAGCTCTTCCCAAGGACAAAAGAGACCACTCTTTGGAAATGTTGCTGCCAAGCGCGATATCAGGTGGGATGACATCATGGAAGCAACAAATAATCTAAGCACCGAGTTCATAATCGGATCTGGTGGATCTGGAACTGTCTACAAAGCTGAGTTGTTTAATGGAGAGATAGTGGCAATCAAGAGAATACCAAGCAAAGATGATCTCTTGCTGGACAAAAGCTTTGCAAGAGAAATCAAAACACTTTGGAGGATAAGGCACAGGCACTTGGTGAGGCTAATGGGGTATTGTAACAATAGAGGAGAAGGTTCAAATCTACTGATATATGAGTATATGGAGAATGGAAGTGTGTGGGATTGGCTGCACAAGCAGTCGGCTAATAACAAGACGAAGAAGTGCCTCGACTGGGAGGCGAGGCTGAAGATAGCAGTGGGATTAGCACAAGGAATTGAGTACCTTCACCATGATTGTGTGCCCAAAATCATTCACAGGGATATCAAATCCAGCAATATTCTGTTAGACTCTAACATGGAGGCACATTTGGGGGATTTTGGGCTGGCCAAAGCCATTAAGGATAACTATGATTCCTTCAACACAGAATCAAACATGTGGTTTGCTGGTTCTTATGGTTATATTGCTCCAGGTATTTAAACTGATATCTTTTTTTCTGAATGTTCGAGTTGCATGTGTTGTATCCGCCAAATTTTGTTTAAACCGAGTTGACTTTTTTTGTTCGCAGAGTATGCTTATTCTTTGAAGGCAACAGAAAAGAGTGATGTTTATAGCATGGGTATTGTACTCATGGAGCTTGTGAGTGGAAGGATGCCAACTGATGGGAGTTTTGGAGAAGACACGGACATGGTGAGGTGGGTTGAGTCGCGTATTGAAATGTCTGGAACTGCTAGGGAAGAGCTCATTGATCCCGTGTTGAAACCATTGTTACCCAATGAAGAAAGTGCTGCATTTCAGGTGCTGGAAATAGCACTGCAATGCACGAAAACTGCACCTGCTGAAAGGCCATCTTGTCGGAAAGTTTGTGATCAGTTACTACATGTATTTAACGACAAGGTGGTTCACTCTGATAAGATGAGTCCAGACAATTACGTTTAGTTGTTTTAGCCAAGGAAATTTCTTAAGCTTTTGAAGATCAGAGAACATTCATCTTCTGCAAAATTGAATATGTAAAAGCATTTTTTCAGGCTAGGAGCCTCAAGTTCACAGTTGTTTGTTGATAGTCTAATTCCTAAAGATTTTATGTACAACTGATGGGAATCATTATCAAATGTCTCAAATGTGAGAAACAAAAAAAATCTAATGATAATCAGAACAAAGACCTTTTAACCAGTGCTTACCAATAGTCCACCAAGCAAAACATGTTTTCCTGCAAAATCAAGTTTCTCAACCTGGTATTGGAGGTTGTATTCAGCCACAGTAGTTGATAGTATGGCTGATGGCTCGGCAAATTGAGCTATTGTAAGAGAATTTAATCAAGAATTTTAATGGAGAAGGTACTGCAAATGTCATATTATCCCAATCCAAGAAGTTGCGAGGAGCTATTGTTTTGGTGGTAAGATTGATCCTTAACCAATAAGCATAGAGGTCCATGCTGCTGTCTCAGCTACAAACCAATTCATTAGCACTGTCAAATAACAGAAGTGGATATTTTGCAAGAGAAGCATAAGAATATCAAGAAACATATACTTTCCACGTTTACATATAATCGATCCTCACAATCCTAAAACAGTAATACGCATCAAAACCCATATATCATAATAATCTGGGGACATCTTTTTCCCTGCAATGCTTTTCTTTCCATTTAATGGAATTGATCCGACTCAACCAGAACCAACTATTAAAACCAATTTTCAGTTGAAAGAGCTAATTAAAGCTCAGCAAGCAACAACTTATGTCCTAACACACTCATACATTGCTGAAAGTTTGAAGTAGTTATATTGAATTGACAGTGAAGTATTAAGGGAGTCCACTTCCACCATGCCAGAGAATGGACCATAATATAAGTAGCTTTATTACTTATAATGCAATTTTCATTATTAGAGAACTCGACTGGAGGCACTCCACATAAAATTCCATCATAAAGCGTTTTTTAGCTGATTCAAAAATCAATGATTTCTGCAGCCTAATAAAAAGGAAACAGCAGCTTAAACAAACAAAGCTGACCACATCTTCAACAAAACAAACAAAGCTGACTCGTCATATGAGCGGCTACAGGACTAAATTCTCCGAAAACCACCCATACTCTTAATCTTCATCATCATCTGCAACAAGTGTTTCAATATCAATATGGGAAGTGATATACAAGAGCACAAAAGAGTCACATAAGGACTACACAAAGCATAAGTGGGAGGCCACTCAACAAAACAAAAAAATCTAGACCAGAGAGCAAATAGAGATAGTTCTAGCATAACTGATGCAAATACAATGCAAAAACTTGTCTCTATCCCACCATTGAGTATAAGGACAATTGCAGCTTTCGTGCTTCATCAGTTTGGCTAAGCCTTGGATATTGTAGTTGGCTGCTATACCATTCTAACTAGCTTCTAGATAGAAATATGATCAAGTCATTTACAACTATTGTTAATCTAAATTATATGTTCTGAATCAGAAACCTAAAGGATTGGCAATTTATGGATTCAGCTAGTGTCTTATTTCCTTTGATAAACTCTAACTGCAAATATAGATCTTTGCATGGAAAAAGGTCAAAAATACCTCTCTACTATGTGAAAAAGATCATTTATACCCTCTATTATACTATCCGTCCACCACAATTTCCGAGTTATAGAATTGATACAAAAATACCCCTCTACCGTTAGGGCCCTCCACCATGGCTAACACTATCTCATATGGCATGACATTTCACTGAAATGGACGCCATGTGGCGTGCCACCTCACCCGCTCAATCCCATTTTACCTCCTTCTTCCATTTGGTCTCCAACACCACCTCCCTCCAACCACCATCGCGTACATAGACCGGCAAGTCAATCAAAGACTACAACAGAGTAAAAACAGAGTTTCAGGACAGGCAAGGCAGAGAAATAAGTGCTACAATGAAATAAATATTATCATTGAATCGAAGACTCATTACCCACATTCCAGTTACTAGACGAGAGACCCCATGTCTAAGGTGCGGCAAACATGGAACCAACTCTTCCAAAGTAAGTAAGTAACCAAAGCACCAGAAGCTATGTCGCCATTCAAGCAGCAGGGACAAGTAAAATACAAGCTCCAATTTGTTCCTACAACTTGTGCGTGCCATGTTTGATGACTGATGAACATATAAGAAGGATTTAAATTTGAACTTCCCCGTAAAAACAAATAGAGTACATATAAATCCTTTTTTTCTTTTGGATGAGCACTGAGTAGGTCTAATCATATCATCAATCCAAATCAAAGACCAAAAAAACAAAATAGCAAATAGGTATCGGACATAAGTTTGTTATGCATCAAAGTATCGTCAATTTGAATTAAGTAATGTGACTAAAGAAGCAACTCTAAGTAGCCAACCATTTGGCAAGCTATCCCTTATCATACCAAATCGCCGTTTCAACGCAATATCAGGAGAAGTAGCAAGAATTTAAATAAAATAACAACAAATAATTAGCACTACAATTACAAGAGGAAGCAAAGTGGGATTCTGGGACTTAAACACGCATTGCGAAATGGGAACCAATTCGCAGTTAAATTTCACTTCCGGAGACGATAGAAAATGCAATCTTGACAGATAAGTAAAAGAGTTTTGTTTACCCTGGAATCCGCATAACAATTGAATTTATATGGGGTTTTAAGGATCCGTGAACTAAAAGATACAAAAGGTTTGGATTGAGGAAAATAAAAGATAAAGACTCAACAATTGCTGTTAAAGTAAATAATCGCAGAATATAATATTGCTTAGAACAATTGTGCTTGATAGCGTACAAGAATTGAGAGAGATGGTACTGTAGTGTAATGGTTTCCGATCCCCTCTTTATGGGGTCTTCTCCCCTTTTATACATTCTGATTAAGGGTAAAAATAAGGTAGGTAAATTAATTACATCGTGGATCCCTGTAATTACGCCTTAATGGCCTGAAGTGGTTGAGAAAATCACGTTTGGGCGAGATATCCGGCGACGCTTGGTTATCCGTTACGAGTCCGGCTTCCGACCTTGTGTGTTTCTCCATCCGGTGGTGACTCATATCGAGCTCTGCAACGGTCTCGAAATGACTCGACCTCGGTTGTTGACGTGGCCGTCGTTCTACCTTGCATACAGGTCGGGTTCGATGGCCCCGACTTGCCCCGGACCGGACCCAACCCGGTCGGGCTCAAGCAAAAAGGGTATCACCCAATACAAGTTTCAGAGTAGAAGATGGTTAGGTGGAGCGGGGAAGAAGTGTTGGAGGAAAATTAGGCCACTTATGATGGTGTTACATCGGGCGTGGTGCGGCTATGGCAACGATTTGGCGTGATGGCCTTGCCATTGGCCTATGAGCGGGCAAACAATTATGGAGGTAATGGACAAGACAATGTCGTATGGGCTGTT